TAGCCAATCATATCAGCAATATAATTGTTATCAAAGTATAGTCCAATCATATCAGCATTATAATTGTTATCAAAGTATAGTCCAATCATATCAGCAATATAATTGTTATCAAAGTATAGTCCAATCATATCAGCAATATAATTGTTATCAAAGTATAGTCCAATCATATCAGCAATATAATTGTTATCAAAGTATAGTCCAATCATATCAGCAATATAATTGTTATCAAAGTATAGCTCATTGATGTCATCGTTATAATTAGTACCAAAATGGAGAGGTGAAATTTTTAAAATGTGAAATTAATGTAATGAATAAAATAAATTAAAAAAGATGAAATATTAGAAAAAACGAAGGAAAAAAGAAAAAGATAAAAATGAATGAAAAAGAATTTCCTTAGGAAAAAAGAGGACAAAGGAAAAAAAAGAAAAATACGATGAAAGTATATGAAAAGCTAAAATTACATTATCATTTTTCATAGTTGTTTGAGTTTGATAGAATAGGAAATTTCTTTTTTTGAAAAAAGCATTAAGCAAGAAAGCTAAAGTTACTATTTGTACAATGATAGGATTGAAATGATGTGAGAGGAAAAAAAAAATGATAAGTAAATCTTTTTGATCAAATAAGAATGGAATAACTAATTTGTTGGCTTTTATTTTAAATTTCCTTTTTATTTTACGAAAAGTTAAAAACAATTTTTACAAATATATTATCAATAAATATATTATAAATATATTTTATAAATACTATTGGTAATGACAATTGGACCAGATTATTTTAATTAGATGCAATTATTTATTATTATTGTTTGTTGTTGTTTGTTTTGTCGTTTATTATTGTTGTTGTTTATCGTTCTTTATTGTTCTTGTTGTTTATTGTTTTTTTTCCTTTGTTATTGTTTGTTGTTGCTGTTTATTGTTGTCGTTTATTTGCTGCTGTTTGTCTTGTTGTTCGTTGTCGTTTGTTATTGTCGTTGTTTATTGTTCTTGTTGTTTATTGTTTTTTTTCTTTTGTTTTGTTATTGTTTGTTGTTGTTTGTTTATTGTTGCTGTTTATTGCTGTTGTTTACTGCTGTTGTTGTTTATTGTTGTCGTTTGTTGTCGTTGTTTGTTGCTATTCATCTGTCTTAAAATCAAAACGAAATACAAAATTACCATTTACCATTCTTCCCCTCCCCATAGAATACGCCACCAATGCTTGTCTTACAGCTATTTTCAAACGTAAAATCGCAAACTGTTGCCCGAACCTATTGAATGTTTCCTTCTTTTTTTTTCACGGTTTTGTATGTCTTTTTTCATTTACTTTAAATGATTGCTAATTAGCATATATTATATTTCGCTATTATCTCAATCTCTACCATTGGTGTATTTCCAAATCTTATCAATCTCATAACGACTCCTCATATTCCATGATATTTTCATTATTGCATCAATCTGTGATAAGGATTCTTCGAAATCTCTCATAGCAATATGTATGTTTGCATTGTTCGCAGTTTTTGCATGCTATTTTTTACTCTTATTAAAACTAAAATTTCAAAGAATAGGGAAAATCTTTGTGTTTTAAAGATTTCAAATTTTCATATTTATCAAAAATGATAATATTAGCATATTTCAGGTGTGAAAGATCTCTCATACAAGATTTATGGCATCATTCGTTTGATAAATTAATCGTTGGATGGAAAAAAATGTAAGTAATCATTGCTAAAGATATAGTTAGTTAAAATTTTCTTATTTCCATTCCCGTATTCAAGATCACGCACTATTAATATCTCGTTTATTGTAGGTATCATCGATTTGAAAATCGATATGTTTACTATTTACTTAGTATTTGCTTACTTTACTTAGTTTGCTATTTGCTTAATTTACTTAGTTACTTTCTTTGCTATTTACTTATTTACCTGTTTGCTATTTACATGTTTACTATTTACTTGGTATTAGTTAATATATATTTTACTGTGTATAATTAACATAGATCGTGGTACGGTATAATTAACATAGATCGTGATACGGTCCATTTCTTTCACCTTGTATTTGCTGATCATATACTGCATAATGCTACGTGTTGACTACGTAGCACATTGCTGCATTAAAATCTTATTAAATTAAATTTGAATATTTCTAAATTAAGCTTACGCCACTAAAACTCAATTTCCTTTTGCAGAATCCTAAATCAAAAAAGCGTAAACACGACGCAATAAATGCATTCGATGCAATGCCAGAAAATGTCACTTTTTACGTTAAAAATGGTTCGACTTTTCTTTTTTGTCGCATATTTTTTGGATTTATTCGTGAAGGAATATATTTCACTTTCGCATAAATTCTTTCAGAAATCTTAT